GCAAGAAACCTAGAGCCATCATTAAACCGCATGGTAAAATGTTGAGTCCTGGCCTGGGCACTTAGCTCAGTGATTTGGCACTTACCTTGGTATATGCAAGATCCTGGGTTTGACCCCCAGCACTGAAAACAAACAAACAAAAAATTAAAATGGTCTGCATTTGCTACTACAATCTTTATTCAGCATTGTCCTGGAGGTTCTTTCTGAAGTAAAAGACTAGTAAATAATAAAACATGTAATGACTTCAAAGGAACAAATAGCCAGGTATTCTGGTGCATGCCTGTAATCACAGCACTTGGGAGGCTGAGGCAGGAGGATCGTTGTGAATTCAAAGCCAGCCTGGGTTACAAAGTGAGCTCAAGGCCAGCCTGAACTACAGAGCAAGACTCTGTCTCAAAAATAAAATAAAATAGTTGTTATTAATAACATAATTAAATATGGTAACTGACAAATTAAAATTGCCAAATTTAATAAATAAGTCTAGCCAGGTTGCCACAAAGTCAATATGCCAAAATGAACTGTATTTCCATGTAGTACAATAAACATGTATTAAAGAACAAATTCAATTGAAATAAAAGAGTGACAAGCTTTTCATACTGAACAGTGAAAAATTTATCAAGAGAAAGTTTAAAAGATCTAAACGACAATATAAGCCTGGGTAGATGGTAGTTCTACCAAGTTTATTTACTACTCCGGACAAGCTGAGCAAAAATCTCAAGGGCCAGCAAGACAGCTTGATATAGGGGAAAAACGAAACTCCCGACCTGAAAGTTACCTGGGATGAGTTCATGTTCCCTAAAACTGAAGAATGAATTTTAAGAACAAATGGGGGTTAAGAGCAGAATATATTTACTGCGGGAAAGCAAACTTCTGTCCAAGAGAGGGACAGAAGTGGGGTCCAAGCAGGTTGTCCCTGGGAAGCTGTCTCTTTCAGGGACTTTTATAGAGTAAAACCATATGGTGAGAAGGGTCTAAGGTGGAGAACATGGGAACTCGCTTAGGTGGGCATGAGGTGGAAAAATAATATGGTCAAGCGTGGGATTACAAGCACCACTGCTCAGATAAAATTGATTAAATCCAGAACCAAATGAGGAAGCAAGCCACATAACAAGTGGGCATGAATACAGGGCAGGGTCTCTTCCTGTTGGGGGTTGGGTTAGGGACTCTTTTGGGCTCTTTCAAGATGATTGGTATCTATTTAGAATATCAATCCTGATGCCCAACCCTAGGGAAGTATGTGGCTGCATTTGTTTCTTTTGTCTAAGTGTGGCCCACAGCAGGGAGTGTCTGTCTCTTCCAAAATTGCAAAGTCACCTTGTCATCCATATTGTCCTTGAGGTTCTGGTCTTTTTGACTATTTCTATCTAATTCAGCTGCCTACAATAAGTTCAGTGGACTAAGTGCCTGTTTAGGCAAGCACAGGACTGGGCTTTGATCTTGGCACCACATGCCCCCAGCCCCACCCCACAGTG